CCCCCCCCGTCTAGACTCCTCCACCACCTAGTACAGTCTCAAGAGTGAATCCTGTGGCCCTGTGGCACCTCATTTATCCATTTGTGGTGAACAAGTGCAGGTGGTAACTTTGGTGATGTCGTAATAAAGTGAAGACTCGAAACCCACTGCGGAATTGCACATGTGTCCTGGTGAGCTTTTTTGTGGGCGTGGCCGGGAATTGTCCATCCCCTTAGCTGATGCTTAAGTCCATATAAGAGCTGGCTGGTCCATATTTTATGTGCTCATTATTGTTAAGTAAATTTTCAATCATGCAAAGAACCTATAAATACATTCTTTTTGAAAATCTTAACGTGAAGCCAAAGCCCCCAACTTTCCCATATGTGAACACACACACACCGTCACGGTTGCCTGACTTGGCCCCTTCCAGAAACCCCATAGGATTAGGAGCTTGCCTTGTTTCCATCCGGATCAATCACCTCCGTGCTCTGCATACAGAAGTGTAACAAGACATGGTCTTTAAGTTAGTGGCTCTGAGCTGACAGAATTTCTCCAGAGCCTGTTAATGGCAGATACTGTTAGGTCCTAGAAGTTCGAGATGGTCATAGTCTCTGCCCTTGCAGCCGGGGAGATACGTCTTTAATCAACATACAAGAGAAAAGAAGTGTGGGGCAAGAAAAGGGTTGGGACGAGAGAACAAGAAGTCACAGGCCCAGAGCCTGCTCTGCCACTCAGAACAGGACAGGTTGGGTGGCTAGGAGTGTGCTGGAGAATGTTCTGGAAGAACTGGAACAGGGAGGTCCCCGGACAGGGAGGAGCTTGGAAGTGACAAAGGCTGATGGGTGTGGTGGAAGAGTAGAGGAAGAGGAGGGTATGCTGGTCACACCCATAGGAGTTTAGCTTCATTCTAGTGGTAGGGGAAACCACAGAAGGGGTGTGGACAACCTGGCACTTATTTCAAATCGCCCAGATGGCAGTCAGATAGGACAGCCAGCAAATCAATGGGAGACTGGACTGAGCAAAGATACATACATGTGTTTTAAAAAATCGAGTGAATGTGCTGATGGATTGAATAAAGAAAGGGGTGAGGTGGGTCTGAGAATGACTCTTAAAAGACCACTTGAGATCAGGTAACCTGCCAGCACGAAGCTTGTGCACCCATGTCCTCTCTATCTGAAAGACTGACTCTTGTCCCAACCCAGGGAAGTACCATTAGGCCTCTGATTGGGCATGTGTGAACACGTGACCCAAGAACTGGCCCTCTATAGGCTGACGGATCCCCTGTGTCTTGGCCCCATAGCTGTTAATCCACTAAGAAGAGAGTGATTATTAAAACAAATAGGTTGCTTCCCCTCAGGAAGGAATTTCTTACAATCTAAAGAACCCAACCAACCCCTTCCAAGATTAAGACTCAATGGGAATACACGCTCTGATTGGTGACC